GTTTTTTTCCCGGTCGCATTTGGGGGAAATCAAGAGGGAATGGTTAATTAATCCCCACTCCTTGTTGTGAAGATGAAAGAGAGATGGATGATGGGGGGGGCGAGTAGAGAACAAAACAGATCATTGCCTGAGATGGTTTTCTCCAGCACCACCATGTGTCTTTAAGGAAGGAAAAGACTGACTTTATAGAGAGTTGCAGGGTTCTGAGGCTCATGCAAAATGGGATCAGTTGATTAATTTTGATTTTTTTGAAAACTTCTCTCTTTCTGATGATGGTCTTTGGCCATTTCCCCAATCCCAGGGAATCAGGGTTTACTCGAGAGCAAATCTCTCAAGATTCTGCGGATGTCTTTTTCCCTGGGAGGATCCTGCTCTTGGGGTGTTAGGGACTCTGATTTCCATCAGCCCCGGTTTGTTGAATCCTTGGTGGGGGTTGATGGGAGTTGTTGGGCAAGATGTCCGGCAGGTGCTGGACTCAAGAAGGGAGGACATGGAGGATGGGCATCCTTTCTCTAAAATCCAACCAGGCAACCCAACCAAAAACGTTGAAATTATGGGATTTACGATCAACATCCAGGAATGGATTTAATTCTATTTGCGATGAGTAATTGGATTGGGGCCCTATTCCGGAACCTCCTCTCCTCATCGACCTCCATTGGCTTTGGTCGGGGTGGTTTTCTTGTGTCCGCACTGGGTTTTGATACGTGTGGTGTACATAATCTGTCCAGCACCCTTGGCTGCTGGATCCGTTCTTCTCGCCTGCTTTTCCGTGGCCTCTCTTGCAGATCTGTGGACTTGGTTTATGTGGGGGCTGGGCTTAAGAGTTAGCGTGTTGGGAAGCCCACACAGTTTTCTTGAACTCGGAGCCCTTTGCGTTCTCTCTTTGTTTTCCTTCCAAGTCAGGAAGAGACTTGGCCAATTGTTTCAGGCATTTCCCCCCTCCTTAATTGTAGAGGTGAGAGCATTGAAGCGGGTCTTTGGACTGAATATGATTTGAGTCCCAAAACTCCGGGGATGACCTTGAGACAATCTCTTTTTCTTTCTCCCTCCTAACCTGGACTCCATCGCAGGAATGTTGTGAGGTCCAAAGTAGGAAGGAAACAACCCACATGCACCACCTTGAGTCTCTTTATGGAAAGACAGAATAGACTGGTAGCAAAAAAATATTTTTAAAATCCCACCAAACCCTGAGAGAAAATATATATATTTGGTTGTCGTCGCTGAAAATCCCAAACCCAAGAAAATTTACGAAACAAAAATTTGCACAGGCGTTCGACCAGAGCCCTACCTCTTCCGTTCCAAAGTTAGGGAAACCAGCGTGTGACTTTAATGGGCGAAATGAAAATTGCGTCCACCAAGCTGAACCCGAAGGGGTGTGGGTCACTGGGTGGCTAAGATAAGGTCCTTCTGAGTCTCGCTTCTAGGAGGTTGGCGTAGCCTTACGCGAGATAACTATATAACGAGGAGCATTATATAGCTCTTCTTTGGGGTTGTTTCTAACCCGGTCGGGTGGAACTCTTTGAAACTCAGTAGTGCTCCTCTCCTAGTTAGCATAGTCTACCTGAATCTATATAACGTAATGGTGGCTGGGACCTTCTGCTTCCCTTCATCTGGTCTTTTGGGTGCTTCTGGTTTTGACTTTTCTGCGTTTTTCTGCATGTGTGGCCATGTCGGATCCAGGTACGGCCCTGGGATGGGGACAGCGCGCGGGCCACAGAACTTGGCCAGAATAAGTTCCCCTGTCCCCTGCCTTCAGCTTTTGAATTCTGCCCTGTTCCCCATCATGCTGGGGGTGGGGGGCTTGTGCCATTTGACATTCTCTACCGCTCTGTGGATGATGCACAGCATCATGGATTTCGTAGTTGTAAAGTGCGCTGTGCTGCACTTGGAAAACTTTGTTTCCTGGGGGCTGCTCCCTCGGGTGGTTGTTTTGGGTCACACATTCACTATCCAGGCCTGGATTTCTTAGAATCAGAGAATAATGGAGTTGGATGGGTCCAATCAGGCCATCAAGTCCTCTGCTCAGTTCTTGTGCATAATCCAGGTGTTTTTTTTTGGGGGGGGGACGATTCCTGCTAAATACCCCAACATCTATTGGGGATAGCTTTGGGCTGTTTGCTTTCTGTGTTCCTTCACTTCATTCCCTTTTTAAAGGGTGTCGTTGCATTTCCTTCTGGACTGCTTGCCGCAAAAGCAACTTGAAACTCTTGTGGATCCTTGAAGCCTGCAAAGTTTTATTTAAGAGTTGTTTAAGGGTTGCTTTTTCAAGAGGGTTGTTAAATCCTCCGTCTTGCTGAGACCAGACTCCTTGCCACCCCCACCCCCCGAAGAGAGAGGGATGTAGCCCCCCCCACAGCTGATACTACGCCCTCTCCACAGTGCCACATGATTCTTGGTTTGCCAAGAAACTCCTCTTGTTACGTATGGCCTGCACAAAAGTTTGTAAACAGAGAGAGGTCAAAGTGATAATGGCCTAGTTTCTGGGTGGTTTTGGGGCAACTTGGTTTCTGGGGTTTCCTGAGATGATCACTGTAAAAAAGATGCGCAAGGTTGAAATATCTTGAGTCCCGGGGATAGGAAGGACACATCTCCCTGGCTTGCAGCTTTAATCATCCGCCAATCCATGCTGTCTTGGGAAATGGGAGTTATAATCCCACCCACCTAGAGAGATTTCTTCAGCTTCTCTCCCTTGGGCAGTTGATGGGTGTTTTCCATCACAACTCCCAGAGTGTGGGAATCCCTACATGTGACACGCAGAGGTGATTATGACCTCGGCTACGAATTGGCACTTCGAGGTTAGACTGCTCCCGAACATGGAGTCTTTCTTACAGGTGCCATGGCTAGCCCGAGACAAGAACGGGATAGCTGTGTTTTCTCTCTTTCCCAGAGGAGAGCGAACATTGCTTTTCAGCCTCCTTTGAAGCTCAGCCACCAACAACTGGAGGTTGCGATGTGTTTTTCCACCCCGGCGCGTTTGTTTTGCTGCGTTTTAATTTGTGTTGGCATCTTGCGACACACCGGGGTGTGTATCCTTTTTAAAAAATTGTTATTAAAACCGCTTATCGCTTTTCTGAGATCTTCCCCACGTCAAGGCGAGCGCGAGGGAGTGAAAAATACAGATATATTTGTACAGCTCCTTCCTGAATGGTTTTTTTAGAGGGTGTTTCTGCAGGGGGGGGATGCTTCTCAAACCCCGGCAGAGCAAATTGTCAGTGGGATGGATGACGAGGGGATGCGATGTCTCGACTCTGCCATTCCAGATTGGGTCAATGTTTTTGAACCGTTTTGAAGTGTTATCTGTTCTCCCTGCTTCTCCCGGACTCCCCCTGGTCCACATTTCACAGGGCAGAGCTTCTGAATCGATGAGAAGTTATTCCGATCAGAGCAGTTGGTTTTGTTTTGGGGTGTCTTGCCGGGCACAGAGAAAAAAGTTGGGCCCCTTTCCTTTTTTGGTGGAGGAGAGCCTGTGTTAGAGACAGTTTATGTGAGCAGTGGAAGGGCTGCTCCTGGGAGTTCTCTGTGGGAAAAGTCAAATGTTCTCATCACGGGTTAGTTGGTGGAATCTTAGAGTGGTCGAGTTGGAAGAGTCTCTTGGGGATCATCTCGACCAACCCCTGCTTTGTCCAGGAAGCCCATGGCCAAGATGTCACAAGGGATGGTGATGTGGCTTCTGTCCATCATCTTCCGAGGCAGTCCATTCTGCCACTGGATGGCTCTTCACCATCAGGAAGTGGTTCCTAAAGTTGAGTCACAACTTCCATTCTTATACTTTGAACCCAATGATTTCAGGTTCTGCTTTCTGGAGTTGCTTGCCCGGGGCTGATGGGTGTTGAAGTCCCGTCCTGCTCCGAGAGGCCTGTGCTGGGTTTGTGGAAAGGGTGACTCCGTGAGTCAAATTCTGTGTTGCTCAGGATGGGGAAGAAAGATCCTCTTGGGTGTGGAGAGCTTGAAGGCATCTTTGGGGACCCCCTGATTCTGGAGTTTTGCCTTCTGAATCATGATGCGGCCTACCTCGCAGGCCTGTTGAGTGGCTTCTTTAACCAACCACTGCGGAAGCACACTTCACTGTCTTTACAAGGAAGCATTCAGGTTTTGGGGAGCTGATCTATGAAACGTGCCTTCTCTCTCTCTCTTTGAAATGTGACTTTGTAGAAAACGTGAAGTCTGGAACTGGGCTTTAAAATTTCATATCTCGGGATAGCGAGGGCGGTGAAATGGAGAAACCGTCTGTAACCGAAAGGAACAGACGATGCTCCGGGACCCATTTGGATGGGTTTGACATTGCAATATATTCTTAAAAGAACTTTCCAAGCTCAAAAATGTTGTCCCCCCCCGAGTTTTAATCGAGGGGGAAGAAATGATGCTTCCAGACTTTGAAAGTTTGGGATGACACTAACATGCTGAATCTTCCCCCTGCCTCTTTCCTCTGTGTGTAATCTTATTATTGTCTGGATTTTCTGCTCCTTCTAGATGTTCCCGCTGCCAGTAGCTAATGGGAAAAACAGACCCACAACACTCGCGAGCACGCCGTTTGGAGGGACAGGTACGCCCAAAATTCTCTCTCCCCCCCCCTTGATTTCGTAGGCTTTTTTTGTACAAAACAGAGATGGAGAGAAGTGGGTGGTGTCAGGAGAGGTTGCTGTGTGCTGGTTCCCATCATCCCTGTCCAGCCGGGAGATGGGGGGATAATGGGAATGCCGTCAGGAGAGAACATTTTGGGCTTTTAAAAAAGGAACAGTGTTTTGCAGGTTTGGGAAATGGGTTTTTAAAAAGACAAATGGGTATTTTTTGGAGGATGTCAATATAAGGAATGAAAGGGAGGAAACCCAGCCATGGCAGTTGTGAGTGTCTACCTCTGCGTTGAAGGATCCCACTGCGAAATCCCGTGAGCGGAAGGGCGATTGTGGAAGCATGTTTAGCTTTTTGCCCGGCATCTGTTGGACCTATGTGGCCAGTTGCACAATGGGCAGACAGCTGCTGAAATGGTACACGTGGATTGTGTTGATGGACGCCCCATGGTTTCAACAGGATTCTGGCCATTGCACCTACTCTATTTAGGTTTCACTGCTAAATTAGTGCCTGGGTTTATTTTGGTTTGGCCTGGCTTTCTGAGCAGACAAAATGTAACCGTTCCTGCCTCCGCCACCTTTTCCAACTGTTTTTTGCCGGTCATGTTTCTTCTTTTGTACCAGAATTTGGCACTCGAAGGAAGAAATCAGAGAGAGGATAGTTAAAGCCCAGGTGGGAAGGAATCTGGAATTTTTAAATAATTTCCCCCCTGCTTTCTCCTCGTCTTCTTTTGGGGTTTTTTTTTTTCAGGATGTCACCTTTTTAGCAAGAAAGCCAAATAAAGTTTCTTGTTGGGAGGAATCAGTTTGATTTGGGGCAGGGGCTGCATGTGCCGGGGTTCCCCCCCCGCCAAGTCCTGGGGGGATGTGAACACGCCTGAGCATGTACGAAGCTCTGAAGTTACAGGTGGAGAGGGGGGAAAAAGTTAGATCAGAAGAATGCAAGCTGTCCTACTCTTCTTCCCCTTCAGGTTGTCGCATCTGTGAAGATTTCCCTCTTTGACACATATTTCTCGGGAGGGAGGGGGGATAATTTTCTTTTTTTAAAAAAGCAGGAATCGAGAGGTAAATTCCAGGATGACCTGACAACCTTGTGCTGCAGGTCATGTAGTCGAGAGAGAAGGGCCTCTATGGGATGATGGATGTGCCCCCACACCCTGTTTTTTGCACCTTGGATTGAGTCGTCTGCCTTGGGGGGTGAGGATCCCTCTGCCCCACCTGAGGCCGGAGGTAGCCCCAGACGATGAGCCTTTGATGGATTTTTGCCGTGGTTGTCTGTCAATTTGGTAGTGGCTTCCAGAAGAGTGATTTGAAACGTGTCTACACCGCAAGGTGGGGGGGGAAGTCTTCCTCTTTTTCTTTCTGTTTTGGGATATCCAGTCTGAAAGGCAGGGGCCCCCTTAGGCAGCCACACCTTGCGATTCTGGGAAATCCCAAAACGGCAGGCTCCCTTTGGCATCATCCATGAATCGGGGAGAAGCCTTCGGGGCTGCTTTCCTTGTGGGGCATTTTTCTTCCTAATAGCACCCCGTGGCACACTTTGATCTCTTTCCAGAAAAGAGGGGGGGGGAGGAAAGAAAAATCCCACCGAGAGTTGGCGGTGCTGCTAAGGGAGAAAATGTCCCCGTCTGTGGTTTTCTTCCACCTTGTCTTCCACCTAAACAAAGAATTAAATGCCAGCTTGAATCTCTCCATCCTTTACGACCATCCTCTCAGAATGGCGGTGCTGGAATGGACCCTCGAGATCATCCAGTCCAGCCTCTGTCAGGGAGGCATCGTGCGGGGGGGGGATTTGAACTTCTAACCTCTGGCTCTGCAGGCAGAGACCTAAACCCCTGAGCTATCCAGCAAGTTTATAGAACAGAGAGCATGCAAAGGTTTTTGTACGCAGCTTAAAATATTGTCATATTGCCACAGGCTGTTCTGTCGTGCAGTCGCATTCTGAGGTCCCGAGTTCTGGTCTTCCCTTAATGTTCCAAAATGGATGACGCTTGGCTCAGTTCTTTGCCCCCACCTCTCTCTCCCTTCCTCAGCCTTCCTCGTGGGGTTGTTGGGAAGATTAAAAACTGGGGCAGAGAAAGCCCACATCTAACTTTCACTGCATAAAGGTGTGGTGGTGTTTTTTTCCACAAACATGTTTTCCAACAGGTAACTGCGTTCTTCTGTTTCAGCCTGTATAACAAAAACAAAGCAAGGATCTTTTAAAAAAAAAAGCAACTCAATTATTTTGGGACCTGAAATACTGACAGATTTATTAACACTTCTTTTTTTTTCCCAAACAAAATTTTTGGGCTGAGAAGCGGCTTGCGAAATCCATCGGATCACCGAGCGGTGTTTTAGGTTGGGAAGGGCTCGATTAGATCTTTCCAGCATGAAATAAACAAGCTTCTCACCCAACCCTCTTTTTTTTTTAAGAGTCATGCCTCGTTCTGAAAGTCGAACGTTATTGGCATATAAGCAATAATAGTTATGCAAATGAAGAGCCATTAGGATTTATAAAAATAGGGGCAAATTGGTATGGAAAACTGACCCCAACGAAAGGGGATGTGGCCACAGTGTGCAGTTCTGGGTTTCATCTTTCTGGGTGTTTTTCTGGAGGTTCTGGCTCCTTACAAACTTCTCCAGATTGGTCTCCCTTTAGAAGTCTAACCCTCCTGTAATATCTCGGTCGCTCTCATGCAAGCCCGATCATCAATTTCGAGGTGCACTCCCATCGCTGATTTCCCAGGAGAACTGGGGTGGATTTGCAGTATGAACTGGGAAGACCAGGCTTTCTCCCCGTGGTATATTTTATTTGGTCCCCGTGGCCCCAGGAGCACCCCAAAGACGATGGCTGGAGAGAGAGAAAAAAATCTCTCCTTCCGAGGAATAGAGGACTGGCTTTAACGCGAACCATTTTGGTGGAGGATGGATATTAACGAGACCTGTGAAAATGGAGTTTCAGGGACCTCCTCCATTTCTTCTTTGATCTGCCACCACATTGACACCGCCATTGGGAAAGTGACAAACTTTGGTGGTCTTATTAGCAGAGATTGTGAAGAGCCACACGGATGGGAGGCCGGTCCTTTTCTCCCATGGCTCATGCTTTTATCTATATTCATATCTAATCACTAGGGTTGCCCTGTCCCCTACCAAAAAGCAAAGCAGCTGCCCGTTTCACGCGGTCATCACAAAACAGCAGGGCTGGCCATTTAATTAGGAAAATATGAGACCCAACTTCCGCCCTGGGTTCGGCTTCTGTCGGCATGCCTGGGGGAAAGCCCAACCAGACCTCAGATGTGGAAACGGAGTGTTTGGCAGTACGGATGGCCTCCCAAGTTCGGGCTGCGACCTGGAGCAACGGGCAGGTGGGAATGGGAAGGTGAGCATTCGGGTCCGGTGTCTAAATGGTTTGTTTTCGTGGATGGGGTTCTGTTTTCTTGTGTGTCTCCCCCCTCCCCGCCAGTTTGTCTTGGAAATGAGCTTCGGCGATGCCGTTTGCAAATAATTAAAGACCGTGCTGCAGTTTGTTCGTTGATCTGGATGATGATTCTTGTTTGTGGCCAGCTGCCGGGTCCTCCCACCTCAAAGATGGCTGCTCGTGGCAAAGGTGGGGGCAGGCGGCTTGCCATACGTTTCTTTCAAAGGCAGGGGTGGGTCTTATGGAGGCTTAGGTGCCTGTGGGTGAAAAGCGGTTTGCCAAGAAATGCCTGTAGGTTGCCCCAGGAGTGTGTGGAAAGTTCAGGTGGTTCACCCTCGTGACTATAAGTCCCGTTTTCCTCCAGCAGCAGAAAAACACTGGTGGTCACAAGCTGCATTGGTGAGTGGCGGTTGACAGTTGATTTGGCTGAACAGCGAAGTAGTTGAGCCTTTGAGTCCCAGCTGGTGGCTTTAAATAAGTAACGCCAGTAGATATGCCTACGGCATCTGGTGGTAGTGAGTTCCACAGGCCGTCTTTGCCTTCCTCCAAGAACTGCCTGCTAGTGAGAAGTGCTTTCTGCATCGACAGAAGATCTTCTTATCCTCTGAGGGCAGGTCCTACTCCAGACAAGCTACAGTGGCGGTCAGTTCCACCCTAAGTCTTGTGATGCCAGAACAGCCAGAACTGACCAGAAGGAAAAAATTTAGGAAATATTTGAGACCTCAGAATTAGGAAACTGGGGCTTTTGGTTGCCAGGCCTGCCCTTTCCGATTCGTCTATAGGATCCCGTGTCCACGTAGAGCAGAGCAGAGCCTTGGGCCGTTCTGCTGATGCACCTGAACAAAACCTCCATGGTGCTCGGCTAGTTTTCCGTTTTTGGGAATGGTGCTGAGGCAGGAGGAAGTCTTAACGTTCCCCAGATATGCTTTTCCTAACTGCTAGGGAATTCTGCCTTTTTGGGAAGAGAACATGAAGGTTTGAGCCAAAAGCCTTCCTAAACCAGGGAATGGGCAGGCACTGGCGTGTTCTGCATCCAAGTTGTTTTAATGGGATCTAATGATAATTCCAGATCTGGCGAGCAAAGTTTCAAATCAGGAAGCGGGAGGGGGGAATCTAATTTTAACTCCATTCAATAGACTATTTTGAATCTCTATTTGCTTGTCCTTGTTTTCCCAGCTTTGGCATTGCCAATGTTCTCTGCGCCTCTCCCTGCCGCTGAATGCTCGCAGATAGTCTGTTCTTGTCTGTGGAGGTTCTGCTTAGCTGCTCAAGGCTCCTCCTGGAAGCCTCAGGAGGTTTGGAGGCCATTTCTTTTTTGCAAGCCCTGTTATGCTAACTGCCTTTGCTGCATCTTGTGGCAGGGAGTTCCATAAGTCATGCTTTGTATAAATAAATGGCTCTCTTTTTTGGCCCTTTTTCCAATCAGTCTTATCAGGCACCTTTACTGGATATGACAGAGACAGGAGATGCCAGGGAAGCAAATTAAATGTAAAGCAGTTAAATTTTTTTTCCAGTTTCTCTGAGGTGAGCAAGCAAGCTTTTCTCAGTTTCTCTTGGCTCAGAAATGAGAATGCA